GTTTCCATGGGAGGCTCCACCTCCTCGCCTCCCTCCCCCAAGTACATCTTGGATGCAGACCTGATTCAGAACCAACACTCAAAATGGAGCCAGAGTCTCAGGGTGAAGAAGAGTGGAAAAGGAATTTCTAAGTGCTAAAGCTGGGCTGACCTGCAACTGGACAGCAGAGAACCCTGGCGCCTCCCAGAGCAGCAAGAAGGCTTCCTTTTCAGAGAAACAAGGGAGGAGCATGTGAAAAGGACAAAGACATCCCACTCCGATGTGTAGCAGAGAAGCTGGTTGCTGGTAGGAGAGAAAGGTTCACAAAAGATCGAGTGGCTTATTACCAGGGACCTCCCATCTAGTGAGTGACTTCGTGTGTGTGTGTGTGTGTGTGTGTGTGTGTGTGTGTGTGTGTATGTGTGTAACTATGTTGACTGCCTACCATGCACCAAGTACTTTACCCATACCTTATCTCTTCCCATCTGCCTTTTGAAATTACCCCCAGGTAACAGATGAGAAAACTGAAGTTCAGAGAAGTCATGTGGCTTGCCCAAGATCACACAGCCGGTAAGTAACAGAGTTGAGATGAATCCCAGGTCTGCCCGACTTCCCAGCCCAGAGTCTTCTCTATACCATGGAAAGTGGGAAAAAACGTGGACAAAAAGCCTAGAAAAGATATTTGCATCTGTGTGCTTCCCTAACCCAACTTCCAGGCCAGGAGGATCTGAGGCTGTCTCCCTCCCATCCTTCTTCCTTTCTCCCACACCCTGGTCCTCATCAGTTTCCTGTATCATCACCCACCCTTGTTCATAGCCTTGAGCCAAACAGCAATCCCACCCCTGTCATCTTTTTTGGGTCCAGGGAGAATATGATCACCAGGACCCAGCACCCATTATCTCCCACAGGTTCTGGGCTCCTGGATAGGGGGACTTCCAAAGCAAATCGGCTTTTTTCCCCTCTCTTCAGGCTGAATCCCTTGTGAAATCTCTTTCCAGGTGCTTGCCTCCCTGGCAAAGTCCAAAGGCTTCTCCCTGGGAGTCCATCAGTGTCAGTTGTGGTCAGTAGCCCGCAGAGATTCTAGGAGGCAGTTAGAATTCCACAGAAGCAGAGCCCACAGGGGCCCCACTAAGAGAAGGAACCATCTATTATTGTCCCAAACCCAGAATCCACCAAGGTTTGAGCAGGCAAGAGCTCTGGAGGAAGACTCCCAAGTGCCAAGGCATAAGAATGTGTGGCTCCTGGCTTTCCTTCTTGGGATTTTCTTGCTGGGATTTCTGAGGTCACCACCAAAACCTTGCCTCCAGAGTCACTGCTTCCTATTTCTTTTCAGCCTAAGACAGGTCCCTTTCATTGTCCCTAAGGTACAGCTGAGTCACGCTGACCATTTCAAAAAAAACTTGAAGGAAAAACAAAAAGCAAATCATTATGGAAACTACAAGAAGCATAAAAGTTGTTATGTCCAAAGTGCAGGTTTCAGATTCTGAGAATCCCATTAAAACCAGTGAAAAACTCACTGAGTTCCACATTCCTTGATTCCAAGAAAACAGTGCTGGCGTAACCTAACAGGCTCCCCGTCTGCCCCTTCCCTTAAGTCCTGCCAGCCTCTGGCCATGTGATCTCCCAGACCAACTTGGGCCACTTTGTCATCTTAGTCCATCTTTCACCTTTCATGTCAACTCCAACTCTCCCAAAATGACAGTTTATTTTCTGGGTTTACCCCTAGACTCACTAAGCTCTCTCTCCCTAACCAAGACACCCTTCTTGCATCTGAGAGGAAAACAGCTCATTGTCCTGGGAAGTGAAACACCCTAGTTGCCCAGGAATTAACTTTGAAACTTTCAGCTTCACCTACTTACGGAGTCTTCACAAAGTAAGACCCTTCTCCCAATGCACATGTAGACAAAAGAATAAAAGGGCTTCCAAAAATTCACATTACATATAATAATTTCTTCTTCATACATTAACCTTCAGATCCTTTCAAAAGAGTTATTGGTGGGGCGGGGGCTGGTCAGGAAGAAACATCCGGATAAGACGCTAAGGATACATTCTCTCCTACTAGCAAAAGGAATCCATTTGTAAAGCAATCTGCAAGTAGGAAATAACTACAGACTGCTCTTAAGTTAACAACTGCAATCACAAGGAATGAGGTTCTGGTTGAGGTTCTGCCCCTATGTCACCAGTGCGTGTCTGGCAAGAACAGGACCGACTCCATTTAGGTGCAGAGTCCACTGAGTGGTTTCCTATAAATGTGGTTGTCAACTAAAGTCACAGTTGCTCGGACGTCACGACAAATAGGGGCCTATACATACCATGTCGCGACTGGTGAAAGCCCACAGTTACTACTAGCAGGGAAAGTCAAGGAATCAAAACCGAGTACAAGAAGTAAACCGGGTCGGCGCATTCGCCTTCTGTGAGTCTTGACTCACTGGGGCTGCCGTCGTTGCCCTGAGCTACCAGAAGACGCCGCATCCTGCGCGTCCTGTATCTATGGTTACGACAACATGGCGGCGGTGTGAGTTCTGAGCTGGTCCCAGGGTCCGGGGAGCGACGCGGGTGGCCAGAGAAGGTATCTGTCCCGGGAGACTGCCTCCTCCGGGAAATCGTGGGCAGGGGTCCTCTCCATGTGCTTCAGAGAGCCCTGTGGAACTGAGACTTGGGCGAGATCAATCAAAGATCCCAAAGAGAAAGGGGGAAATCTCCAAATGTATTTTATCTCCCTTGATTTTACCTGTTTCTTCCTCCTTCGACTCTACACAAAAGCCTGACACTTTTTCCACTGGTCATCTTGGGAATTTTTAGATCGACAATTAGGCAAATAAAGGAAGCTGCTGATATATATATTTTCAAGTCCCCGAGATTAGAAAATTCGATTTAATACAAAATGCCTCACTTGCCCACTCTCTTCACAAGAATTGCTGATATGTGAGTCTTTGGAAGAGCAGTGCAGATTAGTGTGGAGGTTATGACTGTTAGTTATAGTAACGGGATTTTTTAGTGCTTTTTTTCAAATCCCCTATTTCAGTCAAGCTTTACATCAACTGTGGAATAGTCAGGATAACCCTCATCTTACACGTGAAATGAGGCTTGGGGAGGCTTGGGAAAATAGAAAAACTTACCTATCCCGAGAGAGCCTGAGGAGATGCTGGTACCCAGATTCCCATGCTCTAGGACCAGTTCTCACTCCCCTAAGCCCTATGACCTGAGCTGGACCAGCTTTGTACCTCGTAATCTCTTATCTCTTCTATGCACCCTCTGGGATAGTTTCATATGTTGAGTGGAGACTTTCATTGCTCTGAGGCAGGAGCTGTCTGTAGACTCCCCTGAAGTCGGAGATATTCATGAGTCAGGACAGGACTGCAAAGTCGTCCACTAGTAGAAAAGCAATGGACTCTATTCTTGTCTCCCCGGTTTGCATTTCTTTGATTCTGTCTGAACGTTCACTTCACAATAGGAGCCTAACACAGTACCTGGTACACGGTAGGCACTCAGTAAATGCTTTGTGAATGAATGAACGAGTGATTCTCCAGAGGGTTTGGAGATGTTGCCAACTAGGAAAACCAGAGTCAACAGAATCTTTTGCTTTGGATGAGTGGTGGAGAGGAGAAGGGAGAGTGGATGAGGGGTGGGGAGGAGACGGGAGAGTGCTTGATGGAGGTGTATAAATTCCTAAAGGGTGACCATAAAATTGTTTACTAAATGTGAATATGTTATAATAAGGGGCTGAACCACAAAATAGAGAAAAGATTTTAAGCCAAATAAAAGGCAAGTAATGTGTAATCATAAATGGTTGTATGGATTAAAATGACTATGAGGGCCTTACAACACTGCCTGGAACACAATTTCTCAGTAAATATCAGCAGACATAAATATTATTTTTGAGCTTGTTATTCAAAGAACTAGGTGGAGGATACTGAGTAAGGATGCTGAAAAAGACACATATGTTCAAAAGAGGTATTAGAGCAATACTGTCTACTATTGTAGTAACTAGCCATATGTAGCTGCTGGGCACTTAAATATGGGTAATCCAAATTTAGAGGTGCTGTGAATGAAAAATGTACACTAGATTTTAAAGGCTTAGTACAAAATAAGAATATAGAGCATCCCATTAATCTGATATCAATTCCATATTAAATAATGGTGTTTTTATATAATGGATAAAATAAAATATATGATTATAATGAATTAATGCTGCTATTAGAAAATTTGGCTTGCATTATATGAGGAGGACCCCAAGAAAACTGAAATTATCTTTGGAGGGTGAGCCCCTTGTAGTATACTTGGAATTTGTTTCTCCAGATCCAACGGTTAGCCGAAGTTTTTATCTGAAAGTTTTGAGAAGGCTGTGTCATGATTTGTGGAAGAAATGTCCCAAGTTGTGGCAAAAAGATGACTGATTCTTCCACAATGGCAATGCATCTGCCCACACTGTGCTGTGTTCGGCAGTTTTTGACGAAAACAGCATGATCCCATGCCCTACCCTCCTATTCACTCCATCTCACCTCGAGCAACTTTTGAAAAAAGTCTTTAGATTAAAGGGAAACACTTTGCCAATGTGGAAGAGGTGGAAAAAGATGGCAGAAACACTAGAGGGGAGCACCCCCAGAACCCCGGAAGTTATTTATAAAAGGTTGTGTCTTTGTTCTTACATGTTTAAACTTCAGTCACCTTCAAAGTACTTGTTGTTTGAGGCAACGCACCTATTGAGAACTTTTTCCACTGCTTAAAACAGTTTTTGAACTCATCAGGTTGTTTTTTTTTTTTTTCCTTTTTCAGGGAGAGGGTTCGTGGAGAGGGGCAGCAAACAGGGCAGGCGAAGAGGGTTGCAGGGAGCAGGCAGTGAGCGGGGTGGGCAGGGTGCAGAGACCGAACTCATAAATCTTGATGCCTTGTAGTAGTTCTGCCATTTTTGTTTCACCTCTTCCACATCAGCAAAATGTTTCCCTTTGAGGAGTTTTCTCATTCAGAGGAAGAAAAAAAAAGTTGCTCGGGGTAAGATCGGGGGAATAGGGAGGGTGGGCATGAGGGTCATGTTTTTGGTTAAAAAGTTGCTGAACACTCAGCACAGTGTGGGTAGGTCTGCTTGTAAATCATCCATCATGAAATGGGCAAATGCGTTGAAAGAACCTCAAAAAAAAAATTCACTGAAGCTGAATGCAGCCTCTCACAACAACGACAGCTGGATCACTGATGCTAATGGATTCCTAGAATACTTATCTAGCAGGGGAAGCCTATACTATAAGAGACCCACCCACCAAAAGATAAGTCTGGATATTTTGGGGTCCCTCCTCATAAAAGACATCAAAATTGACAAGTTCAAAAACGATACTGAGCAGTGGAAAAAGTGTCTTGACAGGTGTAATGCATCAAACATAGAGTACTTGGAAGGTAACTGAAGTTTAAACACATAAGAATAAATGGACAATTTTTATACATTCACCTTTTGGGGTCCCTCTCATGTTCTGGAGGCCAGTGTTCAGGGGTTTTATGAAAGATGGCTCCATATCAAGTGTAAAGAGAAATTAGAACTGCACCTTAGCTGGGCATGGTGGTGCATGTCTCTAGTTCCAGCTACTTGGGAGGCTGAGGCAGAAGGATCATCTGAGTCCAGCAGGTTAAGGCTGTGGTGGCCATGAGTGTGACACTGCACTCCATCCTGGGTGACAAAGTGAGACTCTGACTCAAAAAAAAAAAAAAAAAAAAGGAACTGAACCTTTTGGGATGGGTCATTGTAGAGGTCTAAAACCACTTCCACATGTGCCCAAGCAGGGCTGACCATAGTGTTGGGGTCTGAGTGTGAAAACTGCTATCCTCTTATAGAGGTTACAAAGTCACACTTGGCTGTGTGTGCCAAAGAATGCCAGCTAAAGGAACAAGGGATTTGAAGTAATGGAGCCAGAGCCAGTCTGAGACTCTTTGTGTCCCTTAGAGCAAGGCCATACATCCTTTTGAGCATTTGGTGAAAGCTGTAGATATTCTTCCTGAAAAACAGGCATGTACTTATATATCACATCTTGCATATTATTTGCATATGTGTTGCATATATTTGCATATGATGTCAGCTGCAGGTCATTGGAGACCCCTCTGCTCTAGAGACTGATTGATTTATCCTTCGAGTGATCTATTATTTCAGTGAATGTTTGCTTTAAACTTGGACTACAGATTGTGTCCTCTTAGAGAATCCCAGAGGACCGAGAGCCCACCAGTCACATTTCCTTTTCTTTCCTCTTATTCCTCTTCTCTCAGGAGGCAAGGCATGTTCAGAGGAAACAAGTGGAGATTAAGAGCCAGATAAAGGTAACGCACATGAGTGTGACACTCACGGGGACTTGCTGAGTAATGCCAAGTGTGGCCATTGGAGGGGCATGGCTGTATGACCCGTCTTTCAAGTGACTTCGCTGATTTCCTGATGATGAGTCCCTGGGCTCCCAGGCAAAGCCCTAGACCTTGTGTCTGGTCTCATTCCTCATGGTGCCACCTCCATCTGTTGCCAGAGCTGGGAAGCAGGCCCTCTCCCTATGACAAGGAGAGCCACCATGAGTCTCTTCCATCGGCCTGTCTTTCTTATGTTGTTCCTCTGCTTTTTTCCTAGCTCCAAACTCAGGAATTTCTGGCTTAGCCAGAGTACTCCCCTTGGACCTGTGTCTCCAGTGCCCGATGCTCACCCAGGCCTCAACCCCCACCACGAGGCCCAGGGACGGCAGGGACCACACTGTGAACTCCGGTGGATCCTGCCTGAGTGCCAGCACGGTGGCCATCCCCACCATCAATGACAGCAGTGCGGCCTTGAGTGCCTGCAGCAGCAGCATGAGTGTCCGGGTAGAAAGCCAGGGCTGGTAGAGCAGGGTGTGGCAGGGCCAGGATGGGGCACTGGTGGCGGGGCAGTGGGGTGGGATTCTGAGAGGCCCTGACTCTTCCCTTTACACACCAACACTAGACCCTGCATAGAGGGAGCACCCAGCACATGGGAGTGCTGGGAGCCATGAGCAACAGTGAGAGGCCTTGGGGCAGGGAGCTCCAGGGAGGAGCGAGTCAGAAGCTACTTGGGATCAGGCTTCCTTTCTTCCCTCAGGAAGTTCTTCTGGCCTTGACCCCTAGAACTCTGTGTTTGACCAATGTATGGACGTTGTTTATTTTCTGCAATTCTTGTGGTTCTCTCTGTGTGATGCTGTGAGTGTCCAGGGGTGTGACAGTGGGGTGTGACTTTGTGCTTGCTGCAGCATGTGGCGAGTGCCTCCTTGGATGTGACAGTGGCTTGACTCGCTCCCCTGTGGACTAGGGATCTTGTTTAGAAGGCATTTCATCCGTCTATCTGTGTATTCTGGGCCTGTTTGCCCCAGATTCACTCATTGCCCTTCCCTGCTTGGCTCTGAGCTGGTAGGAGATTGGAAAGTGAGAGGAAGGGAGAGTCCAAGGTAGGTTTTATCTCCTTCACTCTCTGCTTTTGACAGTGCCTCTGTCAGCAGCTGCATCTCCCCTGTGGCCCCAGTTCCCCAGATAGGCCTCAGGGTTCTGAAAACTCCAAACCCCACCACTTCCTCTAAGCTAGGAGTAGTGGCAACTTCTTGATGTTGCCAACCCCTTGGTTCCTTGACTACCCCCGGTTGTGCATTAAATTTCCTGTTGTTTTTTCTTAAAGCAGGATTTTTTGAGAGAACAGAAGCTCCCACAGCAGGAGGGGACCCAAGGGATTTGCTCAAATTCCCTGTTCTAAACACCCAGAGTGGCTTCTGTTTTCCTGGTTGAACCCTAACTGTTGCACCAACTGATATTTATAGTAAATTACCCCCCCCGCACACACACACTCGTGTCACCTTTCTTCCATGGGTGACTTGGGAAAGAAAATACCATATTGGTCATCTGACATGCTCTACAAATATTGAAATTGAGAATGTCAGCTCCAAGAGAGAAAGGATTTGTTGGTCTTGTTCAGCATTGTAGTCCCAGCACCTAGCATAGTGTCTGCAGCATAATAGGTAGTCAACAAATATTTGTTAAATGGATGGCTACATCCTTGTGTTATGTAACAACATAAAAGCAATACTTGGTCAAAGGTAAAGGAAAATGTCAATGAGCTGAGCATTCATAGCAATGATAATGCTACGAAGAGGTACCCAGTCTATCTTCCCTCCTCCTTACTGCCCTGGGAGAGGAGGGTTCCATTCCCCTCCTTCCCCATGTGGTTAGCAGTTATGGCTCACCCTATGGAAGGATTTTCCACTACAGACCAGGAAATGCCAGCACGTTGCAACCCGAGCATCACCAGGGGCAGCACGTGGAGTGGCCTCAAAAGTTAGGGCATGAGTGGGGGTTGATTATAGGCAAATTGGCTCCACCTCTGTTCCACCAGGCAGTGGAAGGATGGGAGAGGGAATGGTCGAGTGTCCCTGTGGTCTGGAAAAGCACCACTCCAGCTGGAAGAGGCTTCTGTAGTGAGGGGCAGGATGGGGAGGAAAAAGTAGTGAAGGAACCTGGGGAGAGGTATCTGAGGGCGCCCTGGGGAGCAGCAGAACAGGCAAGCTCTACATTTGCATGCTGGGTGGAATGGCCAGTGGGGTGTCCTGGCAAGGCTTCAGGGAGAGGGGCTCTGGGTGGAAAACCATTCCAGTTACTACAGAAGAGGTGATGTCTGACTCCAGGACCTGCCTGCACCTCACCTTCTCTCTCCAGACTGGCCCCAGGGGTTAAGGGTGGTGTAATTCATTGCTTTCTGGAGGTGGGGAGATCTTTGCCTTCTCTCTGGCTCTTTGCATTCTACCTCACTGATTCATCCCTTCTCCTCCCCTCCTTTCCCCTGCCACCTGAAAAGGCTGCCAGCTCAAGGGACATTCAGATGTGCCTCCGAAAGAAGCAGGACAAAGCGAAGAAGAGGGTCATCTGGGGCATTGAGGTGGCCGAGGAGCTGCACTGGAAAGGTTGGGAGCTGGGCAAGGAGACCACAAGGAACCTGGTTCTGAAAAACCTGTCCATGAAAACCCAGAAGATGAAGTACAGGTATCAGTATGAGGGGTCAGGAACCCAGCCCTCAGACCCTGAAGACCCCAAAACAGGCTCTCTAAAAAAAAAAAAAGAAGTAACATGTCATATAAAAGCAAGTGAGTGTTTAAATTTGAAGAACTTGTAGAAAGTGGATCCCATGGGACTAGATCAAATCATGAACTAGTAAGTGTCTGAAGCTCACCTCCCCCCACTGTGTGTCCCTCCGCTAGGGGAACACCTTCCCCACCCAAGAAGATAACCACTGCCCTGAATGTTATATTAACAATTTTCTTGCTTTCAAGTGGGTTTACCACCTAGGTTTGCATTCCTAAAGGATATTGTTTCTTATAAAACTTTATAAACTTTCTTATAAACTTTATATAAATGGAAGAATATGGCAAGCTTTTATAACTCTTTTATTTTGCTGAGTTATGTTTGTAAGTCTCGTCCAAGTACAGTTCTAGTTCATTCTTTTTCATTGTGGTATAGAGTTGTGATGTATGCCTGTACCATAATGTATCTATCTATACTTCTGTTGAGGAACACTTGAGTTATTTCTAGTTTGGAACTGTTGCCAACATTCATGTATACGCCTCTAGTTGCACAAGTATAAGAGTTTTTCTGGGGTATAGACATAAGAGTAGAATTGCCTATGCTTAGGACACACACATGGTCATTTTTTGCAGATAAAACCAAACCAATTTTCAAAGTACACAAATCTGTTTAGATGCCTGCCTTAGGGAGTTCCTGTTTATCCACGTCCTCACCAATAATTGCCATTGTCAGGATTTAAACTTTTTGCCAATAACAGTAACTTGTTTTGGTTTTAATTTGCATTTCCCTGATGACTGATTAATGAGGTTGAGTGTTTTTCATAGGCTATTGACCTTTTGTATTTCTTTATTTTGTGAAATTTATGTTCAATTTTAGGCCCATTTTTTCTATCACATTGTCTTTTCCTTTTTTATAATAAAGATGTACAATTCAGGGCTAGGTATACAAATGATGATTACGTAGGTACCCGTGTTGATGAGATATGCCCCTCCCTCCCCTAGCAGTTTCCCTTAACTGCCAATCCCACCCCCCTCCCCTGACAGTTTCCCACTACTGCAAATCCCTTTCTTGTGGTATTATAATTGCTCAAGGTCCGCTTATGAGTGAAAACATATGATACTCTGTTCTTTGTTTCTGTGATAGATCACTGAGTATGATTGACTCCAAATCCATGCAAATTGCTGCAAAGTCCATGCGTTTGCTTTCTTTATGGCTGCATGATATTCCATTGTGTACATGTTCCACTTTTTAAAAATCCAGTCCAGCTTCATGGGCAACATGGTTTGTTCCATGTTTTTGTTATTGTGAGTAGAGCTGCAACAAACATACGTGTGCAGGTATCTTTTTTGTAGAATGATTTGAGTTCCTCCAGGTATATTCCCAGTAGGGGAATTGCTGGGTCATATGGAAAGTCAATTTCTTAGTTCTTTCAGAAATTGCCACACTGTCTTCCAGAGAGGTTGCACTAGTTTGCATTGCCACCAGCAGCGTTGAAGCGTTCTTTTTGCTCCGCATCCTCGCCAGCATCTTGTTGTTTGTTTTATTAATGATGGCCTTTCTTACTGGGGTTAGTTGGTATCTCAATGTGATTTTGATTTGCATTTCTCTGATGATGAGTGAGGCTGAGCACTTTTTCGTGTGTCTGTTGGCTGCCCGTATATCTTCTTTTGAGAAGTGTCTATTCGTGTCTTTTGCACACGTTTTAATGGGGCTGTTTGTTTTTTTCCTTTCGGCGTGTTTGAGTTCCTTGTAGATCCTAGATGTTAGGCCTTTGTCAGATATACAGTTGGCAAATATTTTTTCCCATTCTGTGACTGTCTCCCTGCTCTCTTGATGGTTTCTTTTGCTTTGCAGAAGCTCGTTAGTTTGATGAGGTCCCACTTGTCTATCTTATTTCTTAAGGTATTGGCCTTTAGGGTTTTGAATAGGAATTGGTTGCCATTTCCAATTTCCATAAGGCTATCTCCTGTGTTTTCTAATACTTTGAGGTTTTACATTTTACGTTTAGGTCTTTGATCCACTTAGAGTTAATTTTTGTGTATGGTGATAGGTAGGGTGTATCGTGTTTCAGTCTTCTGCATGTGATCAGCCAGTTTTCCTAGCACCATTTACTGAACAGGTTCTTCTTTCTCCAGTGGTGTTGTTGGAGGCTTTGTCAAAGATGAGTTGATTGAGGAATTGAGGCTTTGCTTCCAGAATCTCTATCCTGTTCCATTGGTCTATGTGCCTGTTCTTGTACCAATACCAGGCTGTTTTGATTACTGTAGTCTGATAGTATAGCTTGAAGTCTGGAAGTGTGATACCTCCTGCTTTGTTTCTTTGCTAAGGATTGTTTTGGCTATTCATGGTCATTTATGTTTCCATATGAATTTCTGTATTGTCATTTCCAGGTCTGAGAAGAATCATGTTGGTAACTTAATGGGTATTGCATTGAATCTGTAGATTGCCTTTGGTAGGATGGACATATTAACGATGTTGATTCTTCCTATCCATGAACATGAGATATTTTTCCACTTGTTTGTGTCTTCTTGGATCTTTTCCTTTTTGTGTGTGTAAGTTCTCATCCCAAATACTAGCCTTTTGTCAGTTATGTGTTGTGAATATTTTCACTCACTTTATGATTTGTCTTTCCTCTTTTTGTTGTGTCTTTTGAAGAATAGAAGTCCTTCATTTTAAAAGAATCAAATTTATCAATCTTTTTCTTTGATGGTTGGTGCTTGTTTTTTTTTCTTGTTGTTCTTTTGGTTTTTTTTTTTTTTTGAGTTGGAGTCTCACTCTGTCACCCAGACTGGAGTGCAGTGGTATGCTCATGGCCACCACAGCCTTGACCTGCTGGGTTCCGGCGATCCTTCTGCCTCAGCCTTCCAAGTAGCTGGAACTACAGGTGTGTGCTACCATGCCCGGCTAATTTTTGATTTATTGTAGAGATGAGGCCTCACCAAGTTACCCAGGCGGGTCTCAAACCTGCGGGCTCAGGCAGTCCACTCACCTCAGCCTCCCAAAGGCGCGGGATTACAGGCTGAGCCACTGAGCCTGGCTGGTTGGTGCTTGTTTTATGACATACCTAGGAAGTCTTTCTTTACTCTCAGGTTATGAAGATATTTTACCCTAGTATCTTCTAAAGACTTTATAGTTTTGACTTTCATATTTGTTTTCTATCTATATGGAATTTATTTTTGTGAGTGGTTTGAAATAGGAATCTGATGACATGATTTTCTTCAATTGAACATCCAATTGTCCCAGCACTGTTTATTGACAAGTTCACACTTTCTCTGATGATCTCCCACATCACTGACATATGTAAAGTGTTCCTCAATGTGCAGGTCCTTCTCTGGACTTTCTGTTTAGCTCCCTTGATCTAATTTTGTTTCCCTGGGCCAGTACCAGCCAGAAGTTATTATTGGAGCTTATAGTAAATCTTGATATCTGGTAGTGTAAGTCCTGCAGCTTCATTCTTCTTCAAGACTGTCTTGACTGTTTTTGGCCCCTTTGAATTTTTTTTTAGTTGGAGTCTCACTCTGTCGCCCAGGCTGGAGTGCAGTGGTATGCTCATGGCCACCACAGCTTCCACCTGCTGGGCTCAGATGATCCTTCCGCCTCAGCCTTCCAAGTACCTGGAACTACAGGTATGTGCCACCACAACTGGCTAATTTTTTGATTTATTGCAGAGATGAGGTCTCACCAAGTTGCCCAGACTGGTCTCCAACCCATGGGTTCAGGCAGTCCTCTCACTTTGGCCTCCCAAAGTGCCCATGGCGCCCAGCCAAAGTCTTTTGAACTTTTATATAAATCTTCAAACCAGCTTATCATACATACACATAAAACACTTTTTGAGATTTTGATTGGGATTTAGTTGAACCTATAGATCAGTGTGAGGATAACTGACATCATTACAATGTTGAATCTTTCAATCCATGAATATATTTGTATCTCTATGTTTATTAGGTCATCTTTCATGTTGCTCAATAAAGTGTAACATTTTCTCTGTAGATGTCTTCACATCTTTAGTTAGACTTATTCCTAATTTTTTTATTTTTGCTTATGCTCTATTGGCATATTTTTAAATTGTCTTCATTTGTGTTTATTGCTAATTGTTTAAATGTCATTTTTAAAGATATGGGTATTGTGTCCAGAGGTCTTGATAAATCCTCTTAATGATTCTAATACTTTATTTGTTAATCCTTTTTATTTTCTACATATACACATTTGTATTTTATATAGAAAATAACAAATTTTCTTCTTTTCTAATCCTCATATCCTTTATCTTTCCTCACTGCACTGTTAAACAGAAAAATATTGAACAGAAGTGGTGATAGAAGACTTCCTTGTTTTGTTCATAATCTCAAAGTGAAAGATTTCAATGCTTTATCATTAAGCGGAATGTTTCTTGTAGGACTCCCCGCCCCCAGACTTTATCAGGTTAAGGAAGTTGTCTTCTGTTCCTGCTTTGCTGAGAGTTTGTCTCATAAACACATGTTGAATATTTCTTGTCTAATATTTTCTTTTTTGAGATGATCATTAGATGTTTTTCTCTCTTAATTTATTAATATGATGCTATATTAACTCGTTTCTATGTTAAGCCAACCATACTTTTCCTGGAATAAACCCAGCTGATCATGATTAAGTATCCTTTCTATACATTGCTAGATTCTTTTTGCTAATATTTTGTTTATGAGTGAGAATGGTCCATAATTTTCCTTTCTTTTCCTGCTTCTGCCAGGTTTTGGTAACAGCGTTATGACGGTTTCAGAGCATATGTTGATGAATGTTTTCTCGTTTTATATTATCTGGAAGAGTTTAAGACTGGAATTGTTTTTCCTCAAATGCTTGGTAGGACTTGCTATGAAATCATCCAGCCTAGTGTTTTCTTTGTGGGAAGAGTTTTTACTACCTACTCATTTTCTTTGATGATTTTAGGTAGGATGGCCATAAAATTTATTGTATAATTCTTGAGTTGGTTTTGGTAGGTTATATTTTCCTAGGGATGTGTTTATTTCATCTAAACTTAAACATGTATTGGTATGGAGTTGTTGACAGTGTTGTTGTCTTATGAATGTTTTAAAAGTCTGCAGTGTCTATAGGTCTGCCCCACCCTGGGACACTGCAGCTCAGCCGAGTTCTCTGTTTGCAAAGGCATCCCCAGCACTTCCCTTCCCAGCCTTGGTCTCCCCAGCTAAGTGCTCAGGGACTCTGTTAAATCAGGGCAGCCTTTTCCTCTCCCAGTCTCCCTCAGGCCGCCATGCACATCAGAGGCATACATGCTGCTCCCTTTTTGTTCAGAGTGAAGGTCTGTGAGAATGAGAAGAGGAGGAAGGAGACGGGTCCTCTTGTGACCAAACTCCTGTGTTTCCCACTCCGTGGACTAATCCCCAAGTCTCTTTCTCTGTGGTCCCAAGGACACAAGCCTCCTTAACGCCAGGGTCTCCCTAGTCTTCCGGCCCTCTCTGGTCGTTCTGAGCCCTGATCTGAAGTATCCATCTCTCGGCTGTCTCCCTCAGGCTTCCCAAGACCAAGTTCTTCTTCACCGTCCTCCCTCAGCCCATCTTCCTGAGCCCAGGCATAACCCTCACGCTCCCCATCGTCTTCCGGCCTCTGGAGGAGGTAAAGTCTGCCAGAGACTGTGAGGATGAGGAGGTACCGGGGAGCCATGACCTCAGAACAGGAAGCAGGACAGGGCAACAAGCAGTCCTCCCTACCTCACACATCCTGTCAGCTAGGGCAACAGCTCCAGCTTAGGAAGCTCTCAAAAGGGCTCAGAATCTAATATTATTAGACAGAGGGTATTTCCCGGTGGCTACGGGGGAGTAAAGACTGTGCTACTGTATTGACCATCAGAAAGCCTTCGCCTCTTCCTGCTGCTCACTAATTTCATCAAAATACTTTCCCCACAAAGGAGGCCCTAATCTCTGAGGCCAAGACAGTGTGTGATCACAGGTAGCGACCTTCCCCTCAGAATCTGAAGTAGGGCCATGGCCCATCCCATGCTTCGGTGGTTGTGTTGTGGGAGTGGCTGAGAGTGGGTTGGGATGTGTGGTCCCTGCGTACCACTTGGGTGCCACTGATGGTTGACTTCCTCTGCCCCTACACTACAGAAGGAGTATGTGGACAAGCTGTGGTTTGAGAAAGCAGAGGGAATGTTCTGTGTGGACCTGAAGGCCACCCTGCCCTGCCACAAGCTGATCTGCCCACCATTCCTGCAGCTGCCCATGTGTGCCACGGGGGATATGGCCGAGGCCTGGTTCTACCTGGACAATGTGGGGTGAGGGGAGAGGCTGAGTTTCAGAGGTGGGGAGAGCAAGGACTGTGAGGAGGGTTCCCGGGAGCAGGAGAGACCAGCATATCCTGGAGGGGGAGTTAAGGGGGCCACCCAGCATCTCTGCCTTGCTAATGCAGGAGCAGTGGTCAGAAAGAGCCAGTGCCCTGATCTGCTCCTCACCCCCCAGGGACCTCCCCACCTTCTTCACCTGGGAGTTCCCTAGCCCATTCCAGATACTACCCACCACGGGGCTACTGGAGCCAGGCCTGGCCTGCCGGATCAAAGTGACCTTTCAGCCCCTAATAGCTGTCATCTATGACGCTCAGGCCACGTGCTGGTATGGGGCAGGCAGCCGGCAGAAGAGCAGCATCCAGCTTCAGGCTGTGGGTGAGACCCGACTTCCCACCTGTCCCCAGAGCCCTTCTGCTGCACCTCCCTGGGTCTCAAGGCCTCAATGTGTCCCTCACCTCCCGCCCCGGCCTGGTCCGCACAGGGGCTCCACCAGCCTCCTGCCCTCCCCTGAGTACCACAGGCACTGCTTTTTTTCTTTGCCTTACATGATGTCACAGACTAATTTTTCCCTGGGGACGCCTGCCTTCTTCGAGGGGCTGTTCAGCTGTGGCCACAGAGGCCCCGGTGGGCTCCTCCAAGCCTCCCCCATCTCTGTCCCAGCCAAATGCACTCAACTGCTGGTGAGCATCAGGCATAAGCGACTGGAGGACCAGGATGCTGAGGGCTTGCAGAAAGTGTTGCATTTTGGCTCTGTTGCTGTGGGCTGCACCATCGAGAGGCAGATCAGGCTGTACAACCCATCAGCGGTATGCATGGGGCAGGGAGGGGCAGAGGCAGGACTTGAGGACCCCAGGACTAAATTTTCCTGAAATCATCCCCTTTACAGAATGCCCCCTTTTTCTCCACACCTTTGCCCCCAAGCCTCATGTAACCTATGTCTGTTGAGACACGTGTCCCCCCTCCTCTCAGCTGGGGGAGGGCTGTGTTGGGGTATACGCCAAACCCCTAGATTCATTCCAAGAGCATCCCTAAGACTGTCCTGACTCCAAGATCACAGCTAGTCACGATGGCACCTTTGGGAAAAGAAAAAGGTGCCCTTTTTGGGTGGCCCCAGCACGGGGCACATGGCTTGGCCCCTTCCTTCCTCCTTATGGAGGTAGCCTTACCCCATACTCACAGCTGACCAGTGGGACACAGGCCGAATGCCAGCTGCCTCACCCCCTTGGCTGGGCACCTTGGTACCATTGACAGACTGTTCCACCCTGTGGCCTGATCCCCTGTCCTGCCACCTGGCCCCACAGGTGAATGCCCCCTTCAGGATCGAAATGTCCCCAGATGTACTTGACAAAGACCAGGCCTTCTCATGCCCCACGGCCCATGGCATCGTGCCCCCAGGAGAGAAGAAATGTGTGTCGGTGTTATTCCACCCTGAGACCTTGGACACCAGAACTATGGACTATATCTCCATCATGCCTTCTGGCTGCGCCTCCCAAACCCTGCTTAAAGTCGTTGGTTTCTGTAGAGGTACTGGTGACCCAAGATGCCACAATCCCCCCGGGACAGGAGCTGCCTGTGGAGCTCAGGGATCTGAAGAGCTCTTTCCCTGCTCCTAAGAGCCCTGGCCACCCTACTCCTCCGCCCAGGTGCCTGCTGCCCCCTGGTGGTCCAATGAGGAATCGTTTGTGGACACCTGGAGACACCAGTCTTGCCATCACCTCAGTGATGTGGAAGTTCTCCTCGGGCTGCCAAGGCCTGGGCCTTTCCAGTCTGGCTTTCTGTCTCCAGTGGGACCCTTTTTGAGACACCCTTGGGGAGGCTAGCACCCCAACCCTACAAAGGTGGCAGGGCCCGCTCACAGGAACCCTGTCTCCTACGCCCAGGTCCTGCTGTGTCCCTGCAGCACTACTGTGTCGACTTCCACTTGGTCAACCTTGGGAAGCGTTCAGAGCAGCCCCTCTGGATTGAGAACCAGTCAGACTGTACAGCCCACTTCCAGTTTGCCATCGACTGCCAAGAGAGCGTCTTCAGCATCAGGCCTGCCTTCGGGACCCTGGTGGGCAAGGCCCGTATGACCCTGCACTGTGCCTTCCAGCCCACTCACCCCATCATCTGCTTTCGGCGGGTGGCCTGTCTCATCCACCACCAGGTGAGTGGTGGAGGAGGGGGTGAAGGCAAGGGGAGGAGGGACTCCCCTGGGGCCCAGTGATAAAGGCAAGGCTTGGCGGGCACTCCACTGGACTCTGGAACTTCTGGGGCTCTTTCTGTGTTGCTTCCTCCTCTAGGGCCCCAACTCTGGCTTTCCAAAGCAGAGTGTGGCCAGGGCACAGGAGGGTTCACTCTGGGCCTGCTTTGTCCTGGCTGCTCCCAGGTCAGGGCTATTGCTGCTGCAGTTGCTAATTGGCTGTGAAAGGGAGGTTTGAATGTCATCCTACACAGCATATGTAGGGCAGAGGGCTTTGAAGTCACATCCCGACTCCGGGTCCCTGGGCAAGGTCATATACACTGTGCCCTGGCCAGTAGGTACCTGGCCAAGATGGCAAGTAGGGGCTAAAATTCAGCCTACGATCCTTCCCCGAGCTGGTGCCCAGGCTCTGGGCTGCATCTGTCTACCTGGAGGAATGGGTGCCTTTCCCTAATTCTCATGAAGGTGCAGTCTGTGCTGGACAAGGTCTTGGGGGCGGGAGAAAAGAACAGGAGCACAGAAGGAGGGCTGATGAGGCTGCCCTGGTGAACACCAGGCCTGAGGCCTGAATTCTACTCTTGAGGGCCTCTTTGCTGGCAGTAAGGAGCGCAGTAGAATGCCCAGGGGCCATGGCAGAGGGGAGGGGTGGGCAATGGCTGAGCAACCCAAGGGCTGGGGTGCTCTAGTCCTGACCTTCCCTGGACTCCTGCTGTTCTCTAGCTGAGCCAGGCCACTGTTTGGGTGCTCACCCACCTTCCACCCTGCAGTTTCTGCTCTGCCACTGCCGTCTCCATCCTCCTGTCTGCCCAGCTTCTATGCTCACTTCAACTCCCAGCAACCCTCTTGCCCTACTAGCCCGCCCATGCCCCATTGAACACGGATAAATACCGTAGGAGCCACTGTTTCTGGACCTGATTGGGACCTGCCATTCAGACAGCACCAAGCCAGCCATCCTGAAGCCTCACCACCTCACCTGGTATCGCACACACCTGGCTCGGGGCCTGACGCTCTACCCTCCTGACATCCTGGGCGCCATGCTGAAGGAAAAGAAGCTGGAGCAGGATAAGAACGGGGCCCTTCTGATTCCCATGGAGGTACATTGCCTCCCCCAAACCCCTCCCCAGATTCATGCTTCCCTAGTGATTCTTGGGCAGTCCTGTTCCCCCAGAACCATATGGGCACCATTAGTTGGGGTGATCTGTGCAGAGCTCTTGCAACTTTTTCCAGACAGGAGTGGGCTGAAGGGGACAGCGGCAGGAGGAACGGCAGTTGGGCGGCCCCGTTCACCTGTCTTTCCCCATGCAGGACCTGGAGAACATGCCTGCCCCGCAGTACCCCTGTATTCCCCCCATGACTGAGTACTTCTTCGACGGCACCAGCGACATGGCCATCTTCCCTCCGCCCGTCAGTATAGAGCCTGTCGAGGTGGATTTTGGCGCCTGCCCCGGGGCTGAGGTCCCCAACCCTGTCCCCCTGTGCCTGATGAACCACACCAAGGGGAAGATCACTGTGGTCTGGACACGCAGGTCTGGCTGCCCCTTCTGGGTGACCCCGGACACCTGTGATGTGCCGCCACTCAAGTCCACGGCCATGCGCCTGCATTTCCAGCCTCCTCACCCCAACTGCCTCCACGCCGTGGAGCTGGAAGCCTTTGCCGTCTATAAGGTGTGTGCACACAGCCAAGAGGGAGAAGCGCGGGATCTGGCTGGAGCCTCACCAGCAGAGTGGGGCGGCAGGGGGTGACTGAGGGTTGCTGCCGACTCTGTCCTCTCCACACCAGCTTTTCCCTTTCTTCTCGACTGGACAGCGGCCCCTACTGGCTTGTCTCCTCCCAGACTCAAGGCACATATGATTATGTGTCATTTACACGTGGTCTTCCCTCCCCTCCCCTTCCCTCCCCTCTAGGGAAAAAATTCGGTTAGAAAAACTTGGAGCACAGGGAGTAAGTCCTGGGGCTGCCAGCGAGGGGCCTCCTGGCTTCTCTATTAGTCCTTGAAGTAGGAAGTGTGTCTCTCTAAAGGAGCTGTAGGCCAGCAGGAACCAGGGCCTGGGGACAGAGTCGGGGCGCTGGACAGTTCGTTGTGTCAGGGGAGGGGTTTCTAAACTTCCCTTGGTCAGGACTGTCTCCAGCCCTGCTGTTCCGGCTCAGACATGTGGTGCTCCCTCCTCATCCCACCAGTCCTGCTCTTCCCTTCCTTCTCTGCTTTGTCTACCCTGCTGTCATTTGCAGTGGCCAGAGTGCTGGGGCCCAGTGAAGAGTAGAGCCATGCCGTGAGGAACAGAGTTACTTACCAGCTACGTGACCTTGGGCGAGTTCCTTAATGCCTCTGAGCCCTGGTCTTTTCGTCGCTAAACGTGGAAATGCATCCCAACTTAGGAGGCTTTCCAAAGTGGAATCCTTATTTGCCTCCATCTTGTCTTGACAGTGGAGGAGGGTGGAATGTTGTAGGAATGAGGCTGTGGATGCCTGGTTCTGCTGAGGCTCAGCACATCAGACTTTTAGGCTACAGAGTCTAGACTTGTGCTGTCCCATGCTGTACCATCAGCTGCATGTGGTTATTGAGCACTTGACATGTGGCTGGTCCAAACTGAGGTGTGCTGTGAGTATACAATACACACCAGACTTCAAAGACCTGGTATGAAAAGAATGTAAAATATCTCGTTTCTAATTTTATAATTGGTCATATCTTGAAGTGATAAGATGTTGGGCCTATTGGGTTAAATAAAACATGATTGAAGTTAACTTCCCATGTTTTACCTTTTTAATGTGGCTACTGGAACATTTAAAATTAAATTTGCGGCTGGCATTTGTGGGTCACATGATATTTCTATTGGCCAGTGCTTCTCTGGGCTCCTGCCTACAGAATGAAGGCTGCTTTCACACGCCGGCTCTACCCTCCTGGGTCGTGAGGACTCAAGAGCGCGTTCACTGAGTGCTCTGTACAGGGCCTGGCTCTCAGTGAGAGGACTGGGTCGGGACTCTTGTTCTCTGCATGGTTTTCCCAGGGAAGCCCCTCTTTCTGTGCACAATGTAGGACTCCTGCAACACAAGGACAGGGAGGGCGCAAGTTGGGGTGCTACACAGGGCAGACACAGGACTCAGTTCTTCCGTGGGCCCGGCCCCCCTGCAGGTTCTGCAGAACTACAGTCACCTCGAGGAGGAATGCACCATGTGCCCATCCTGGTGCCTGACGGTGCGCGCGCGAGGCCACAGCTATCGTGCTGCCCTTGAGCACCACATACCCCAGTATTCCCTGGACGCCCCCAAGGTGAGTGTGGCCCCAACAGCAGTGGGAGTGGGATGGGGAGCCCTGGCTCAGCCTGCAGAGCCCTCTCCCCTCATCTAGTGGCCTCAGAAACACATCCTTGCACCCTCCCTGGCTGTCGCTACCTCCCTAGAGCCAGTCCTGGGGATCTGGCCCAGTGGAGAACCTGCTTCTGGCCATGACACTGGGACTGGGGAGAGCCTGGGGGGTGGACAGCTAGCGCCTTCTTGCTCCATTTGAAAGTGTCACCAGGGCCTCTCACTCTCAGGCTTAAAACTCTCCAGCTCCTTCATTTGTTTGTGTCCTGTTTACTGAGTGCCTGCTGTGCCCCAAGTCCTGGACTAGGCCCCAGGGATGCAATAGCCCACACCACCAGCTCCTGCCTTTCAGGCACACCCAGCCCTGTGGGGAGGCAGAGCCAGTCCCTTCCTCAGGGAGTCATAATTCCCAGGCCTCCCCAAGGTCCTTGAGAAGCAGAATGACACAGAGTTAAAAGCACAGAGCCTGGGCCCAGACCACCAGCTTCCAATTCTGGTATCGTCTTTGATATCTCCCCCAGTTTCCATGGTCGTCATCCATTTTCACATCAATCTTCTTGTTGCTGGAAAGGTGCCACTTTGAGATGTGTTTGGGCGTGACCCTCCTCCGCATACCAGCTACGACCTGTCTGCCAATCTCAAACCTACATCATCCCAAGATCCGGCTCAGGAATGGTCCCTTCCCAGAGCCCTCTCTGATTCACAGGGTTCTCCTCAATGACTCCCTCAGCCCCCTGCCCTTGGCCAGTTCCTCCCAGTGGTTTGTGGCCTTCACTGCTGTCTGCAGATCAGGCCAGGTTGCTTCCTCACCTGCTCACACACGTGCACTGCCGTCCCAGCTGGGTGGGGACCTTGGGTCAGGGATTATGGCTCTTGTGTTTTGCAGCCTGCACAGCTCTTAGCAAGTGCTGGCCACTCCCTAGATGCCTAAGAAGTGTTTGTGACCCAGGATTGTTGGGGTTGGTTCCCCTCAGCCACCTGCATAGGAATCATCTAGAAGAAACTACTTACTGCAGAGCTTCCAGATGAGGCTCTCTGGAAATGGGTTCTTTAAAGGGTGATTCAAAGGCACCCAACTTTAACCTTGAGCAGAGGCCTTGGAAGCCCGACTTTCCCGGGAGCCTGTGGCTACCCCATCTCCCTGTTTGGAGGAGTCTGAAGAACAAATGCATTCTTTGGTGCCTCGTCGTGGCCTCCTTCAATTCCACATTCCCAGGAAACTGGGTTGCCTGGTGGCATCTTGGATCTCCTTGGAGGCAGGCCTTCCCAAGCCCATATATGTCCCTGAGAATGTGTCTCAGGGGTGGAGCTTTGAGCAGCACATCCCACTTTCCCCCTCTTCTCTCCTGCCCCCAGCTGTTTCCCGCAGTCTCCTCCAGAGAGCCTGCCTACCGTAGCCTACTCCTGGTCAACAACGGCTCCATGCTGCTGACCTTCAGCCTGGCCCCCCAAAGCTGCTCAGATATTATCCTGAGGCCCACTTCAGGCCTTGTAGCACCTGGGGCCCACCAGATCTTCCTCATCTGTACCTATCCCAAGGGCAACTGCTGGAAGCAGCACACTTTCTACCTGCAGTTCAATTTTTGTCCCCAACATCTCAAGGTAGGAGGATGGGGTAGAGGACATGGGTCTTTGGGAATGGGCCATAATCTTGAACATCCCCTTGCAAAGCCATATTCTAGGGTTGGCCCCTATGGCTCCCCTAAAGTAGCTGGGGGCACTTCTCCAGGAAATAGCAGCAGGGAGGGAGCCTCTTGTCTAGATCTGTGAACAATCTTCCCACTCCTCAGAGCCCTGCCTCTCTACCTCATGGAGTCTGGGACCAAGAAAGGGGGCACAGGGAATCCGGGGTAAGGATCTGAGGGCAACACAAGTTCACATCTGCAGGTGGTAGGGGGATATTTGGGGCCAGGTCAGGAACAGAGCCTGGGTGATAAACCCATGTCTGGCCCCGTGAAATGACTGATACATCCTCTCTCTGTCCCTGAATTCGGAAATCATCTCCTGAGTCCGTCACTATAAGATCTGTTTTAGACAGAAACTGCCCATGCCCAGGCTGACAGTAGGCCTTTTGCTGCCCTCTCAAGGAGGAAAATCTACCTTCCCATGGACATGTGGGGGGAAGCTGGGACTGCGGAATGAGGTGAGGACACTGCCCTCCTTCCTCTGGCCCCAGGAGGTGACCATGCAGAGCCGGGAGGAGCCACTGCAGCTGAAAATGGACACCTCCAGAGGCCTCTACTTTAAGCCCACCTGGGTGGGCTGCTCCTCCACCAGCCCTTTCACCTTCCGCAACCTCTCCCGTCGGCCCCTGGAGTTTGAGTGGAGGGTCTCCCAGCAGTACCGAAAGATGCTGGCCGTCCAGCCTTCCAGGGGGCTCATCCAGCCCAATGAGAGCCTTGTGAGTACCTCACTTTTGCCTGGCAAGAGTGGAGGAAGGGCACTGTCACCCACATCATGGTCTCGTATCATGGGCCAGGCTTGCCACGTACACCTGTCCATTCGCGCCACATGCACCTCCCCCACCTTGTGAGGAATTATGATTATTATCACCTCAACATCACCCCATATTGCAAAGAAGAATTGAGACTTGTGGGGGAAGCCATTTGCTAAGATCATGAGTTAAGGGTGCGGAGCAGGGACTGGAACCAGCGTTTCTGATGCCAGGGCCTAGGGGCATGTCCACTTGCCAACCTTGGTCCCCAAAGCTGGGAGATGGTCGGGAAAGTGGGTTGCAGTGGCTGGATTTGGGTCCAAATGGCCAGCTCCCAGTGAGGATGAAGAAGCAGATTCCACAGTTTTGAGGGGTGCCCAAAATAGGAGATGCAAATAGGATTCTAAGGTTTGGTCTCTCTCTTTCTAATAACCTCATTATTTCCCTTGGTTAGTGTTTAATAAGATGACAACTGTTTGGGTAAACAATGGAGGAGACTGAGATCTTAGAGATAATCACTGGCCAAGAGCTAGAGCCTTGCAGACAAGTTGGAGAGGCCAAACTTGGAATGAGAACCACTGACACGGGCATCTGTAAGAGCCCAGGGGACAGTCACTGGGACGGCGAGAGATTACACAGACTATGGAGTTGGCCTTGAGTGTTCATGCCCCAGCTCCCGCCTTCACTAGCTGTGACACTGGGCAAGTGACCCCACTTCAGTTGTTATCAAAAAATGAGCCATGGAAATAAGGTCACTGACCTCGTGGGGCTAGAGGATCGCTTAGAGAGATGACATAACATGTGTGGAAAGTGCCTGGCATAGGGCAAATACTCAGAAAGGGTTGCTATAGCTTGACACTCTGCAGTGGGACCACAGACAGCAAGGGGCCCGGGGGAGGGGCTTCTGGAGGTTCCCTGCAGGGATCATGTCTGTGACCCCAGACGCTGACCTGGACCTTCAGCCCTTTGGAGGAAAGCAAGTACCTGTTCCGAGTGGGGATGTGGGTCTGGGAAGCCGGCCTGCCCCTAAACGCCAAGCCCCCTGTCACCACCCACTCCATGCTCCGGCTGGTGGGGATGGGCCTCACCAGCAGCCTCTCTGTGAGTAGGAGAGTCCTGGCAGGGCAAGGGGCGGTGGATGGGCCCTGGGGCGCAGGGAGGAGGGAAGATGCCAGGAAAACTGACTCCAAAAGGGCAGGGGACGAAAGCCCTCTGGCTCTCCCCGCTCCCATCCCTGGGTCTGCCCTTCTTTGGGGATGCTTTAAGAATGGGGGTAGGAGAGTGGGGTACTTGGCCTGGGGGAGCACCCCACCCCAACTGGCTAACTGTGGCCCTCAGGCAAAGGAAAAGGAGCTGGACTTTGGGAACATGCTGGTGAACAGCAATAAGTCCAGGTCTCTGGTCCTTCTGAATGATGGCAACTGCACCCTCTATTACCACCTCTACCTGGAGCAGAACAGCCCTGAGGTCATCGACAATCAACCCCTCGGTACTCAGACCTAGGCTGGGACTAGGACCAGGGGAAGTGGAGGGGTGGGGGGTGGTTCTGGTTAAGACTGGCTAACCTGCCGGGTGCAGTGGCTTGTGCCTGTAGTTCCAGCTACTCAGAAGGCTGAGGCAGGAGGATCACTTGAGTTCAGGAATTCAAGACCGCAATGTGTTATGATTGTGCTTGTGAATAGCTAGTGCACTCCAGCCTGGGAGACCCTATCAGTTTCCTCATCTGTAAAATGAGGCTACAGGTAGCATCTACCTCACAGGGCTGCCTGCTAGGTGGGGAAAAGTGCTTAGCAGGGGCCAATGACCCAAAGAAGTGTGGTCCTCTCTGTCCTGGGCTAGGAGGAGGAGCTTGTCTTCCCGTTTCCTGACTCAGGGCCTGCTCTCCAGCCAGTGCTCTGCTGACCCAGAGGAGGGTATCTGGGAAGGAGCAGGAGGAAGGGCCAGGCCTCCTCTACCCATTGACCACCTCCAATCCCTTGTCACCCCTGAGCAGCTCTGCAGCTGGACCGAACAGAGGGGAGCATGCCACCCCGGTCTCAGGACACCATCTGCCTGACTGCCTATCCCAAGCAGCGGTCCCAGTACTCCTGGACCATCAGTTATTCTCTCCTCTCCCACAGAGGTACTTGGGCCACCTAGCATGGAGAGTGGGGGCCTGGGAAGTGCAGGAGGAAAAGGGGGAGCCATGTGAGGCAGGACTTATTGGAAGATGCCGAGGGTCAGGGCAGAGCTGGCATCACGAGTGGGGTGTGTGCCTGAGTGTCCTTTGGGTGTCTGGTGTGAAAGCCGCATACCAGCCACGTCTGTCTAGGTGGGTGTCCATGTTTGTGTGTGTACACGAGCTCTGGCAGACTCAGCGTGAAGAGTTAGGAGCTTTGCTGATGTATCATGGAATCTTAGACAAATCTTCAGCCTCCCGGGGCCTCCAGCTTCCTCCTCTGTAAAATGGAATTGTTACTACCCCCATCCCCACCCCTGACAAACTAGAAAGAGTCCAGGGCAGCACACAGAGCTATTAAGAGTGTGGACTTGGCTGAGTGTGGTGGCTCATACCTACAATCCCAGCACTTTGGAAGGCCAAGGTGAGAGGATTGCCTGAGCCCACAGGCTCGAGGCCAGCCTGGGCAACTTGGTAAGACCTCATCTGTATAATAAATCAAAAAATTAATCCAACGTGGTGATGCGTGTCTCTAATTCCAACTACTTGGAAAACTGAGGTGGAAGGATCACCTGAGTCCAGCAGGTTGAGGCTGCAGTGGCTGTGAGCATGCCACTGCACTCCAGCCTGGGTGACAGAGTGAGACTCCAACTCAAAAAAAAAAGTGTGGACTGGAGCTGGACTGTCTGGAATTAGATCCTGGCTCCAGCACTTATTAGCCTTGTATTCTTAGCAAGTTGTTTCACCTCCCTGTGCCTCAGTTTCCTCATCTCTACAATAGGAATACTAATGTCTCACAGACCAGAAAAGGGGATGAAGTGCTGATACTGGCCACCGTATGCATGAACCTTGAAAACATTGCACTAAGTGAAAGAGGCCAGTTACAAAAAGTCACATATTGAATGACCGTATGTATTTGAAATGTCCAAAACAGAGACAGAAAGTAAATTAGTGGCTGCTGGGGGAGGGGAAGGTGGTTGGATGAATGGGGAGTGATGGCTAATTAGTCCTGGGTTTCTTTTTTCAGGGCGATGAAAATTTTCTAGAATTAGATATTGTCGATGGTTGCGCAACTCTGTGAATATACAAAAATCACTGAATTGTGTGGGTCACAAGGATGAATTGTACCATATATAAATGATGTTTCCCTAAAGCTATTATTAAAAATTAGTTTGAAAAATAACAGTGTCCAGGCACGGTGGCTCAAGCCTGTAATTCCAGCACTTTGGGAGTCTAAGGTGAGAAAATTGCCTGAGCTCAAGGATTCGAGGTCAGTCTGGGCAACATGGTGAGACCTCATCTGTACAATAAATCAAAAAATTAGCCAGGTGTGGTAGAACATGCCTGTGGTTCCAGCTAGCTGGAAGGCCTGAGCCCAGCAGGTCGAGGCTGCCGTGGCCATGAGCAGCATGCCACTGCACTCCAGCCTGGGTGACAGAGTGAGACTCTGACTCAAAAAAAAAAAAAAGGAAAAGAAATGAAAAATAACAGTGTACATTGAATGCAGGGATGTGTGTTATGCACTCAAGACAGTGCCTGGAACACAAAACGTATCAGACAAGGGTTGACTGTTGTTGGAAAAGTCCCAGAGCCCAAGAGGTGTCCACTGCTCCTGACAAGGGTCCCGGGGCCAGGGGCCCAGAACTCCTGCACTCTCAGCCTGCACGCCTTGCCTGGGGGAGCTGGGAGGCGAGCCCAGTCCTCTCTTCTACCTCCCTCTCCCCCAGGTAACAAGGTCGGGGAGAAGCAGGAGCTGTGTCGTGTCTCCCTGGTGGCCACATACCCCTTGCTCTCCGTCCTGGATGTCAGCCCCATGGGCAGCGCAGAGGGCATCACTCGGAAGCTCCTGTGGCGCCTCTTCTCCCTGGACCTACTCAACAGTTACTTGGAGCGGGACCCCACCTCCTGTGAGCTCACCTACACGGTGCCTACCCGGCACAGGTAAGCTGGGCCAGGGGTGGGTGCAGAGCCAAAGTGGGAATGGTAGGGATGTTTGTGGAGTTTTCTGCCCATGCCTCAGAATCAGGCCCTGTCTTCCCATCTCTTTGGGGAAGGGACCCCTGAATTCTTGCCCATCCCTGAAGGGGCCTGGAAAAAGCAGGGATTGGCTTGAGGTCTGAAGAGCTAGCTAGCTCACCCCTCCCCGTAGTCCCAGGTTCTCCAACTCCCACCGGGAGGGAGGGGAGTGCCTTAGCCAGCCACCCGCGGGAGAGCCCCATCCTATCTCCATCCTCGTCTCTGAGCCTCCTTCTCTGCTCCACACAGCACAAGACAGATCCCCCCCGTCTTCACCCCTTTGAAGCTTGACTTCAATTTTGGGGCAGCACCATTCAAGGCCCCACCCTCCGTGGTGCTCCTGGCCCTGAAGAACAGCGGAGTGGTCCCCCTGGACTGGTATGGCTGGCTTGAAGGGGGCCACTGAGGGGACCCAGGGGACAGGTACCTAGAGGCTGGAAGGGTTTAAGAGCTGCCTTCTCGGCTGGGCTTGGTGGCTCAGCCTGTAATCCCGCACTTTGGGAGGCTGAGGTGAGTGGATTGCCTGAGCCTGCGGGTTCAAGACCTGCCCGGGCAATTTGGCGAGGCCTCATCTCTACAATAAAATCAAAAAATTAGCTGGGCGTGGTAGCGCACACCTGTAGTTCCAGCTCCTTGGAAGGCTGAGGTGGAAGGATC